CCTTATAATACTTGGTAGATTTATGCTAGATGTACCACTCATATTTCTAATACTATGCAGGGATTCCTTATGACCCAAACCATAAACGAAAATGAAAGATTTGTATATATGGGAAATCAGGTCAAAGCACGAGTTGAAGTCGTTAGAACCTATCATTTAATTTTAAGTACTGGACATCATTTAGATTTGTTTAATACTCATTATGTACTGAAGTTATCCCGTAATTTAATATTCTTTATCTAAACTTGGTTTAGAAGGATATTCTTTTATATTCGAGAATTGATGTTTCAATTTATTTAAACATAATTGTTTAATTGTTTAATTGTTTTTAGTGTGCTTTGTGATGGATTGTATAAATTACATCTTTACAGTTTATTTGCAGAGACATTGTTAACCTTGCATCATAGTATAGGAACAAAACGTGCTTCTGTGGATGAGAAATCTGCTTATTTATGGCATAAACGTTTAGCCACATATCAAAAGAAAGAATGCAAAGATTAGTAAAGAATGAAGTTTTACCTGATTTGAATTTTACAGATCTTGGCATTTGTGTGGATTGTATTAAGGGAAAACAAACCACATCCACTATTAAGAAAGCAGGCACTAGAAGCACAAGACTCCTTGAACTAATAGACATAGATATATGTGGTCTTTTCGACGTACCTTCTTTTAGTCGGGAAAGTTATTTCATTATTTTTATAGATGACTTTTCACGTTATGGAAATGTATATTTATTGTGTGAGAAATCTCAATCTGTTAATATCCTAGAGGTATTCATTATTGAAGTTGAAAGACAATTAGATAGAAAGATGAAAGTAATACGATCAGATAGAGGTGGTAAATATTATGGTAGATACAATAAATCTGGATAATGTCCAGGTTCGTCTGCTAAATTCGTGGAAAGTCGAGACATATGTGCTCAATACACAATGTCAGGGACATCGCAACAAAATAGTGTTGCAAAAAAGCAAAACCGTATGTTAATGGATATGGTTAGGAGTATGTTGAGTAACTCCTCGTTACCCTCATCATTGTGAATATATGTATTAAAGATTGTTGTATATTTACTAAACAGGGTTCCTAAGAAGGCATTTCTAAAGACTCCTTTTGAATTGTGAACAAAAAGGAAACCTAGTTTGAAGCACCTGTATGTTTGGGGTTGTCAGCAAAAGTCAGGATCTATAATTCACATGAAAAAAAACTAGATTCAAGAATGATCAGTGGATTTTTTATTGGTTATCTAGAAAAATTTAAAGGGAATCGTTTTTACTGTCCTAACCATAATACAAGAATAGTTGAAACTGGAAATGCAAGGTTTATTGAGAATGGTGAAACTAGTGGGAGTGTTGAACCATGTAAAGTAGATATTCAAGAAGTCAGGGTATAGGTTCCTGCAGCTATGACTTCTACTGAGGTTGTGGTTCCTGTAGTTGTTAAACATTCTGATAACAATCAAGAACAACAAATAATTGAGCAAACATTTCTTAATAATGTAGCAGTCAGTGAACCTATAATAATGAATCACATGAAGTAGTAAATGAACAACAAGAAATAACATTAAGAAGATCTCAAAGATAAAGTAGATCTATCATTACTAATGATTATATGGTTTATCTTCAAGAGTCAGAATTTGACTTGAGAATGGAAACAGATCCAATTTCGTTTGCACAAGCCTTTTAAAGAGATAATTATGCAAAGTGGTTAAACGCTATGAAAGAAGAGTTAAAATCAATACAATACAAAGAAGTTTGGGATTTAGTAGTATTGCCTGAAGGTTATAGAACTGTTGGGCGTAAATGGGTCTTTAAGACCAAACGCGACTCTAATGACAATATTGAACGTTACAAGGTCAGACTTGTAGCCAAAGGTTTTAAATAGAAAGATGGTGTTGATTATAACAAGACCATTTCACTGGTTTCCTCAAATGACTCTTTTAAAATTATTATGGCAATAGTAGCCCATTATGATCTAGAGCTTTATCAAATGGATGTGAAAACTGCCTTTCTGAATGGGAATTTAGAAGAAGAAGAAGTTTACATGAAACAACCTAATGGTGTGTAAATTGAACGGAAAGAACATATGGTGTGTAAATTAAAGAGATCAATATATGGACTAAAACAAGCTTCCAGACAGTGGTACCTCAAGTTTCATAATACCATTACCACTGTTGGATTTAAGGAAAACACTGTTGATCGGTGAATATATCTAAAGGGTCAGTAGGAGCGCATTTGTAATTCTAGTCATGTATGTTGATGACATCTTGCTTACTACTAATAATTTTGGCAGATGTATGAAACAAAGAAGTTTCTCTTTAAGAACTTTGAGATGAATGATATGGGCGAGGCATCTTATGTGATTGGAATTGAAATTATTTGTGATAGATCACAAGGATTGTTGGAGTTTTCTCAAAAAGCTTATATCAACAAAGTTCTAGAAAGATACAACATGGATAAGTGCTATAGGAGTCTAGTTCCAATTCAGAAAAGTGATAAGTTGAGCCTTAAACAATGCCCACATATTGAATTGGAACGCAAGCAAATAGAGTATATTCCTTATGCATCTATTGTCAAAAGTTTAATGTATGCTTAGACATGTACAAAACCAGACATTGGTTTTGCGGTCGACTTGCTGGGCAGATATCAGAGTAGTCCTGGAATGGATCATTGGCGAGCTGTAAAGAAAGTGTTGAGATATTTACAAGGGACGAAGGATCATATGCTTACCTATAGGAGATCTGATAATCTTGAAGTGATTGGATATTCAAATTCAGATTTCACTAGTTGTGTAAACACCAGGAAATCTACATTTGGGTACGTTTTATGTTAGTTGGAAGAGCAATTTCATGGAAAAGTGTTAAACTGTCTATCATTTCTGCTTCCCCTATGGAGGCTGAATTTGTGGCATGCTTTGAGGCCACAGTTCAAGGATTATGGCTGCAGAATTTTATTTCAGGGCTTGGGATTATCGATAGTATTGCTAGGCCGCTGAAAATTTATTGTGATAATGTCGCAACAGTTTTCTTCTATAAAAACGACAAATATTCAAAGGGCGCTAAACATATGGAATTGAAATATTTTCCGTTAAAGAAGAAGTTCAGAAACAAATTTTATGATAGCGGATTCGCTGACTAAAGGGCTGTCACCTAAGACCTATAATGAGCACGTTGAAAATATGGGTATTATTGCCCATCATGACTGATTTATGATGTGTTGTATATGTTTCTTGATTTACATTACGCTCCTCATGTTTTAGACACTCTGAGATCTTGATGTGTTGTTTCTGATTCATATAAATTTTTCTATTATGTGTTATTTATATTATATTGTTTGCTATACATGAATGATAAAGATGACAGAATTTGTCCTTGATAAAGACATTATTGTTGGACCATTAAGAATCATTATAGATTGTTCTGATTATAGAATTTGTAATGTGATACGTGGAAAGGGACTGTGTTGATTCAATAACATACTACCACCATGATCCTTATGAATTCTTGCTCAATAATGTTTATATGTTTGACCATTTTAAGATATAACCTTTGGCTAATTATTATTGTGTACACATTATGTATTATTTCTTAAATATAAAGTTATTTAGTATTACATGGACCAAGTGAGACAATGTTAGAAATATTTTATATTTCACATAAGTTGGTCCATGTATCAAGGTTGTTTCTAAAATAATTAAATTGGCTAAGGGGCATGATGGTCATTTACCTTTAATGGAGAGGTTACTACAGTTTGAGAGTTATTAAAACTGCCATATGAAAGGGGTATTCTCTCTTTGTTCCCAATGAATTCATTACGTATGTTTTTCTTTATCCATCAAAAGAAAAAAATTGACAGTAAAGGAATAAAGGAAAAGATATACAATGTCTTTCTTTCACAATTCCATAAAGAGATTACTCATTGATTCAAGTATGTATTATTTCTTTATTAAATAGTGAAAATACATTAAGTTTCAGATATTGAGATTTATGTTTATGCAATTTAGGACATAAAAATATAATTACATTATTGTTTCTTTGTCAAAAGAAGAAATTGATGAAATTGCTATTAAGTTTTTACAAGCCCAAGTTCGCAAGAAAACAAATCAGATCCAGCCCAAACTCAAGGAGAAGAACTAGCCCAAATTGTGTAAAGAAAATGAGACATCTCGGCCCAAACCCATTCAAGCACTAAAATATCAAGTGAAGTTCAAATCCAACAAAGAAAATGCCCAAGCATTCAAGAAGTCCAAGACTTTCCATTATCTAAGCCCAAAGAGCATTTCCATGCTACTTTATTTTGGATCCATTTCAATGAACTCCAAGGCCCAAACTCATGTACTCTTATTATTAGGATTTAATTAAGTGTTGTTATGTTTAGTTAATTATCCTGGGTGGCATATTTACTTTACTTAATTAGTTAATTATCTTTGTAATGCTACTATAAAAGCAGACTCTCTCACATTTTGTAAGGTTAAACAATGATATTGAAAATTAAACACTTGAGAAGAATAACCTTCCTTTTGCTTTAAAATCTTTATCCAAGTCTTGACACAGGATTTGGTGATATTCAACATCAAATTGATGGAGAAATTCTTTATGCTTGAAGACCTCTTCTTGTCTCTATCATTTTTTATTCAAGTAAGTGTTCTTGTGTTTCGTCTTACCGTGGCCAAATTTCTAATGGTAATTTAGTGTTGTCCGAATCTGGTTGGTGTGTCATGTGATGTGTTTGTGCATGTTTTGAAGTTGAAATCCTCTTGTTTAGTGAAATCGTGAAGGTGGATTGTGGAGAGTCCTGTTTGGCCGAACTTTGGCTTGTGAGTTTTTGATATTTTGTTGAGCTTTCATGGAGGTTTTGGATCAATTATTGTGTCAAAATTAGACTGCACAATCAATAACTACAAAAACCACACTACAGGGTTGTATAACAATTAGTAGGTTACTGATATTCTAGAAGCATGTTCTAACTGTTAAAACTACAAATACTCACATGTGGCTTCAAATAGGTGCCCAGTAGGTATATGAAACTATATAGTGTCCTAAAGAAGTTCTTACTCTCTTCAAGCTTCCCTGCACAGAGAACAAAATGTTGAATGATTGTATAAAATTATGAATCAACTCATGTGAATAAACAAAGATTTACAAATATATATCTATATCTATAGATATATATATCCATTTTATCACACATCTTTCCTCTCCATTCCAATGTAGGATAAACAACAAGGTAAAATAAAATATAATACCACAGCACGGGATCCTAAAAGCAAGTCAACCATTAAAATCATGACCTTGTTTGATGTTCTAGCTATGTTGGTTATATCTTCATATTTTTTCATTTACAGAACCAGGGATTCAGGACAAGGTACCAATAAAACAAACGTCAAATATAAATAACTTGAGGCAAACAAGAACAAGAAACCACAAAGCACAGGTTTCCTCTTTAAAGCAATATATAACAACCTGGTTTTATCTCAAACTTTCAATCCATCTTCTGTTACCTGACCACGTGATGCCAACTTTCTGCAAATAATCATTGAAAAAGAAGAAATATATTATTCAAACAAGAGCATTTATTTGTAACATAAGGGAAACAATAAATTCCTTTTAACTACACCATACGGAGAATAGACTGAATAGTAGTGACAAAAACTGGGCCTTACCTTGGTTGATCAAATGATAGAGTGCAACAATATCTCCACCAGCACAAAATGCCCGACCACTGCCCTTCAAAAATTCAAAATTATTCCTTAGCAATGAATAAACCAAAATCATTCATTAACATCGAACAAGTAAACAAGTTAAAACTTGAATCTAAAATTTGAAAAAATCAAAGAAGAATTACCTTCATCATCACAAAACCGATATCTGTATCATCTTCCCAACATTTATAGAGTTTATTCAACTTATCTCCCTAAATACACAAAATAAATAAATATATTCAAGGTGAAAAAAAACCTAGATGACACAACTTTTAATAAACATCTATTGAAATCGAACTGTAAAATAAAAAATAAAGAAAAGAATAGAATCAAAGACCACACCATATTTGTGTTGAGAGCATTCAGAACCGAGGGTCTGTTAAGAATCGCCATTCGAGAACTAGCTCTACCTTCCGCTAATACCTATAAGTTATAAAGAGAAAATTAAATCAATTGAATGTTAAAAAAAAAAAATACGTGTAATTCTTCTCAACACTGGTCCAATCGATGAATTCAAATTATCTATAACTCCTCTTCTTTCTCTTCTAACAGTCCCTTGCTAGTGCGAACTTCCCATATCACCTTGGCACCCATCAATTTCAGTAGCAGCAGGAGTAACAAACTCATCCTTCAACTGAACTCCGTTACAACCATCCCGTGCCCTAAAATCATCAACCGAAATACTGGTTTCCCTTCGAATTCCACCGACCAATCCATAACTAAAATCTTGAGTCACATGAACTTCTTTTAACTCTTCCACACTCTCCAACAAAACCAATTTAAAGAGAGGAAGACAGAGAGAAATTAAGAGTAGTGGAAGCATATTAACATTCAGTNTGTTGAGAGCATTGAGAACCGAGGGTCTGTTAAGAATCGCCATCCGAGAACTAGCTCTACCTTCCGCTAATACCTATAAGTTATAAAGAGAAAATTAAATTAATTGAATGCTTAAAAAAAAAAAAAAAATTACGCACTGAATTGAGGTTAACTTACTTGATTGTCAGGATCATCATTAAGAATGTTTTCTGGAATAGAAGAAAGAGTCCGGTATAGAGTGAGAGCTCGTAAAGTGTGGCCACAACGCCTTACAATTGATGCCTTGAAGCTTTGCATTCTCTTCTCTCTCTCCTCAGTTGCTCTTATCAGAACGGGCTTGCCAAGTAGCAATTGCATATTATATAATATTATCATCAATGTTTTTAAACCCGGTTTAGGCTTTCATGTTACACACGGTTTGCTTCGGTTTTGAATATATTACCGTTTAAATCTTGACAATAAAATATAAATTATAATTTTTGAATTTCAAAACAAATTTTAGATTTATTTAATTTCACAATATTAATCTGAATTTTTCATTGGTAAATACTATATATTATTAACTATTTCAATGGTGAATACGCACTTAAAAATCTTATATTAAAATTATTTTCTATTTAAAAATTTGTACACTTAATAATATGTAATTCTATATATCTTCTTAAAGATTGTTTTAACGTGTTACATCTCAACAAGAAACTTATTGGTGCAATTTCTCGTACCAATGAGAAGTACGTAAATATCCTTGATACGTAAAAGGTCTTATAAGACTCATGATTTTAATGCTGGATCAATGAATGAAATAAAAACATAATAATAACATAAGAAAGAGATTTTAGAAATAGTTCGGATGTTTCATGCAAATCCTACATCTATTGTTTTTGTATTGTTTTCTGTGTTTTTTATGCGCACAAAGACAGTTTATAAAGTATGAATGAAATCTCACCCTTAAGAGCATCTCCAGTGATGCTCTTTATTAATTTCAGAATATAAAGAACATTTTTTAAATTTTAAGAAAGAGAATGTGTTTTTTAAAGAAAAAGACTTAATAGGAGAGAGAATTAATAAATAAAATACATATAAACTTATAATTTATTTATTAAAATTAAAATAGATAATAAAATTTGATTTTCTAAATGTGAAGAGTCAAATTCATTATTATTTTATATTCAAAGAATAAAAATTCTTTTAATCTCTTATTTTTATAAAGTTAAACACTTTATAATGAAGAATTTTGAGGTTTAATCGGGGTAAAAAGTGTCTGTAACTACTATAATGGCAAAATTTGTAAATAAAATTAACAATGACACTTAATTCATCGGCACAATAAAACTAGGAACAAAAGTCGACAAATCAATAACACCTTTTGATAGGACAATTATAATTTTGATTATAGTTAATAAATAAAACACAATGAAATAGGCGAAGTGGAGAGATGGTGTGGAGTGGAGGGAGCCGGAGATGATATGAAAACAAACTTTCCTTCCATTTCGCAGCTGACACTTCCATCAACTGCAAAAGTCAGAAGATTCATCATCCTTGTCACACCTCACAGCCCTATCTTTATCCTCGATCCTATTTCCTTATCTTTCAATCTCATATCTTTTTCTCTCTATATCTAAGCAAATCACCCTTCTTTATCCGATTCAACCGCTCCTATTCATCATCATTGTTCCATTCCCACCCTCCTCCAAAACATCAATCTTTCCACAACAATGGCCAAGAACCCAATGAGAGTTCTAGTCACCGGCGCTGCTGGTACTCTTTCTTTTCTACTACTACTTCTTCCCTTTCTATAATTACAAACACGTATGCTGAATATTTCAATCTTCTGAATTAAGTCTTAAAACAAACATGACAGTATATTTTAATCTTATTCTTTTTCCATATTCATCATTAAGTTTTCTTGGCAAAGGTATTTTGTAAAAGGTGGGTGCTTTTCTTTGGAGTGAATGATGTTTCTGTACATTTTCATGGCTTGTAGACTTCATTTTGGTATCTCATTGCCGTATTGCTGAGGTGTGTGTAGAGATTCGTAGACTTAAATAATATTGTATCTTTGTACATATATGGACGACAGTTAGTTTCCTGATTTTAACAGGAAGATTTGTGGTTCTTTTTGTTTTGAGAAATGGATTACTTTTACATTGTACTCCTTCAGAAAATTCTGGTTGTTTTGTTTTGTATTTCGTTGTTTTGGAAGATTATAAAGCACATGGCAAGTTTCCTAAATGTACCAAAGGAACCCATTACAATATTGGTCGCTGGGGCTGCAGGCAAGCTATTTGAAATCTATTTTTCTTGAAAAAAAAAAAAAAAACAAAATCAGTTTTTTTTTTTTTTTTAATTCCTTGTCGAAATTATTTAATCCTTAAGTCGTCATCATGCATGGGCTAACAGATCGAAAATCTAAAGCCGCCGATGATACAGTGTTTTCCCAAAAGTCAAACCTCATATCTCTCCTAACTTTGTTGTTTATTATTTGACCAACATTTAATGTGTATGTATTAATTTGAATAATGTTGAACAGGGCAAATAGGGTATGCTCTTGTTCCAATGATCGCCAGGGGGGTCATGCTAGGTCCTGATCAACCAGTAATCCTGCACATGCTCGATATTGAGCCTGCAGCTGAGGCCTTGAATGGGGTGAAAATGGAATTGGTAGACGCTGCCTTTCCTCTTCTTAAAGGTGTTGTTGCTACTTCGGACGTTGTTGAAGCCTGTAAAGATGTCAATATTGCTGTCATGGTTGGTGGATTCCCACGAAAGGAAGGTATGGAAAGGAAGGATGTTATGTCTAAAAATGTATCAATTTACAAAGCTCAAGCTTCAGCTTTGGAGAAGCATGCCGCTCCAAATTGCAAGGTGAAAGACATGAAACCCTTACATTAAATGATTAATTCTTATATTTCTCCCCATGAAGTTGTCTTATTTTTCTCATTATTTATAAACAGGTGTTAGTCGTAGCGAACCCTGCAAACACCAATGCACTGATTTTGAAAGAATTCGCACCTTCAATCCCAGAGAAAAACATCACATGTCTTACACGTCTTGATCACAACAGAGCATTGGGCCAAATCTCTGAAAGGCTGAAGGTTCATGTTAGCGATGTGAAGAATGCGATCATATGGGGCAATCATTCTTCTACTCAGTATCCTGATGTCAATCATGCAACTGTGGCCTCTAACAATGGGGAGAAGCCTGTCAAAGAAATTGTTGCGGATGATAATTGGTAGCTAAAATGTTACTTAATTTCTACCTGTTTTATTCATCATTTTTCTAACTTTTTTCATTTTTATTTTTGTCGTAGGTTGAATTCCGAATTCATCACCACTGTGCAGCAACGTGGCGCTGCCATTATCAAAGCTAGGAAGCTATCAAGTGCTCTCTCTGCTGCAAGTTCTGCTTGTGATCATATTCGTGATTGGGTTTTAGGCACTCCAAAGGTTGGTTATATCCTCATCTTAAATTGTATGCAGAATCCATTTCTTCTATTTTTCTGTACTAGCATAATTTATTTGTTTTCCTCTGCATGTTTGATTAAGGGGACTTGGGTTTCCATGGGAGTGTATTCTGACGGATCTTATGGCATCCAAAAAGGCCTTATCTATTCATTTCCTGTTACATGTGAAAACGGAGAATGGTCAATTGTGCAGGGTAAGTTTATTAACTGAATAATGTTTTAGAAGCTAAAAATTTTTACAATACTAAAACATATGTTTACTGAAATTGCAGGTCTCAAGATAGATGAATTCTCAAGGGCAAAGATGGATGCAACAGCTAAAGAATTGGTCGAGGAGAAATCATTGGCCTATTCGTGCCTCAATTGAAACTCAACTTGCAATTGACGCTGTACTCCTCTTCTAGTAGGAAATATTATATAGACAATAAGTTTATTAAAAATAAAAACAAGGACCCTCTTGTTCTAATCTTAGTTAATGTAATAATAAGCATCCCTTCTTTCTTGCAGTTGTTATTTGTGTTATTGGAAGGGGATGGTCTTTCTTTTATTTATAATATAATGATTATTGTTTTACTTAAATATTGTTTTACTTAATTATTGTTTTAATGTGTTAATGCTTTGATTCCCATCAATCAGAAGTACGTAAGATCTTTATGAAACTTGCTTGAAGAACTTGTATGGAATATATTATGTGATGCGGAATCTGAAAAGTACAACCTAAAGATTTTTAAAGGTGGCTCGGCATATATATTATAAATAAAATGACATGTAGGTGACTGGGGATTGACCGCACAATATAATGTAGTAAATTATTTGGTCCAAATTGAAATCGGACTTTCAATTTTTCAAAAATCTTATCACGATTAATCCAAACTCTACATTCGACCACGTTTTTAACAGCTTGAAATGGGTCTAGGAAAAGGAAAGCCACGCGCGTGCACAATGTACTAAAACCGTAATCTAAGCGCAAAGCCATGCGCGTGTACGTTTCAATATTACACACCCGCATTTAGGGCTATAAAAGAAGGTAATGACGAAAGACCACTGAGAAGTGCATTTAGCGCCTAAGTTTCAAAGATACCGTTAAGAATTTTTCTTGCTATTCCAGTTTCTAAGTTACCCACACCTACGCTCCCAGATTTGAACCCTCTTCCTCACGACTACGACGGCGAAGGCGAAGGGGAATCCAACGTAAGCCGTTCCACGGCAACGCCGACCGGTGAGATTTTCTATTTTTTGTCGTGAATTTAAGTTTGATTGGCTTTTTAATTATATTTTCTGTGCATTTGAAGACGGGGGTGTTGTGATTTTGCGTCTATGGTTTATATTTATCTAATGTTTAATGTAGAGATTTTGTAATTGTCATTTATGCCTTTGAATTTCAATCTAAATATTTATGCTCCCTCTCAAAAGTGTAGGAATATTTTTGGATTAAATTCTAATTAGGGTTTTAGGTGAGTATACAGAAGGTGTAAATATTTGTTTGACCTATTCTTTGACTAAATTCATAATTAATTTGTTGTTTTCTATTTCTCTAATCTCTCTCCTTTTCTTTTGTATATGACTTGGGGATTCGATATATGCTTTCCACTTGAATTTGTAGTCAACATACATGGTTCTTGCTGCCATTTATCTGAATACAATTTTGAAAGCAAACATATTGTTTCTTTTAGGTTTTAAAAAGTGAGTAAAGTACTTTCTGAAGCTTGGTTGAGTGTTTGTTTCAACTTTTCTAATTTGGAAGATTTTTAAATGAACAATCAGGCGAGAAATATATTGAGGATTGAAAAATGGATGAGACTATGAGGCAACTCCAGCAAAATTTGATTGAGCTTGAAACTGAAGCTGAGCGTCTTCTTTTAGCCCGACATCAGGTAATTGAATTCTGACCCAAAAACTTTCTGTTTTCAACATATTTGTTTGAACCCCCATACTCTGTTTGGTTGCTGAAGAATGAGTGGAAGTAAAATGATTTTTTTTGGAAGCAGCTATTAAGTTTCTTTATGATATCTGAAGTTAAACATTTGGCCTCTTTGAAAAGAAGTTGAAATTTTTGAGTTAGGATACTGGTTTTTTTTTTTTTTTTTTTTTTTCTCATAGGGGTGAAGGATCAAGACACTATGATGTGTTTTAAAATAAGCCTGATGCAACCACTTTGTATGACTGGGTTTTTGACTTGTTGGAAAATTTTGAAGTATTATCATGAATGCAATATTTGTTTTCTTTAGTTTCTTTCCCTTGATTTTCTTGGGCCAAGAATGGCATTTCACTGATTCCTGCTCATGGAAATTCAGTTAGTTGAAAATGATAAAGTGAGGAATGGGAACAGGGAAGCGCTAACAGCTCTGAGGAAGAGGGCTAGGACCACGAGAACCAGTATTCCATCTCCTTTTGAGTCAATAATGAAGGATATGGGGCATCCTGGAACTAGGCCTTTGGTGAAGGAGGTATGCACAACCTGCGGTGACCATGACGCAAATGAGCACACATGGATGATGTTCCCAGGAACTGATGTCTTTGCTAGAACTCCATTTCATGCTGCTCATACTATTTTGGAGACAGGTGTCTTCTCGAACCCTCTCAGTGTAACTGAATTATGAGTTAAAAAAATTTCTTAAGTGTTCCTATATCAGAAGTGGTATTTTCTTTTTCCTGGTTTGACTTACGATTTGTAAAGCAAAAAGTTTTTTTAAAAGCTATAGGAAATATATGTGATCTACCTTGATTCAAGGATAGGTTTGACTGGTGATATAGTGAGCATTTTGTTTTTTGAAGGTTGGTATGCATTATTATTATTTCTCTTGAAAGAATTTGTTTGAGTTTTGATAAAAGTCAGTGACATGGCCGTTAATTGCTTAAATAATGACTAAAAAAATATTAACAATCAAACAGTTAATGAGATGATTATTTAACGCTCTAAAGGTCCCTAGCCACCCTGAAGATTATTAGGGAACAGTACGGAATCGAGGCCCCCAGCCACCCTGAAGATTATTAGGGGACAGTATGGAATCTAAGTTTATTTGTGCAATTATAGTTATTTTTTTGAATCAAAGTTACTTGTCAAGGCTACCATCTTTGGTCTTTTGTTAGAAGGTAAATATTTCTAAAATTATTTTAGATTTATTAGCTTGTCACTTTAATAGTAACATCTGTCTGCATGTGAAAGAATGACAACTAAATTCAGTGATGGGCTATCTTTCAGTGCTCACTGCTAGGATAAGTTATGGGTAATTGAGAGGCTTCTTTGATGAAACTACACAAAAATATCTGCCTTTTATGAACTGAATTGAATCTATGTTGTGCAGTTCACCGGTCATCCTGGATTTTGTTTTTAAGAAAAGAGAGCATTTCAGAAGACCATTTCTTCACAAACATAAATTGCTGAAATAATTAATTACTTTGTCTACCTTGTTCCTTCTATTTTTAGTCAGGGAATTAATTCTATCCTTTCTTTTCATTTTTCCTGAAAAAGCAACAAATACCTTTTATAATAAAATAAATGTGCAAGGTATATGCTTTGATGCATTGAATTGCCGCCAAAACGCCAAGTACATTTAGGACTGGTTTGATGTATTCTTATGTTTAATATGTTAAACTAAACATTCTTTCATCTTGCTATTGTGTTATTCTTCTACTGTTATTTCGATTGCTGTTATATTATTCTTCTACTTTTATGATATCTTTGTTTTAAAGCAGATCAAACACAACTTGATTATGATGCAAAAAAATTGCAAAGCTATGTGAAGGAGAAATCCTTTCATATCTCAGAAAAAGGTGCCCTTGCTGACAAGATCAGTCCTGGTGTGCTCAGATCTCTAGTAACTTTGTCGGACAAACCAAAGTAAGTCATTCCCGTGGAATTGATAGTCTACCTCTTTATAAATTGATCTCCTTTTTTTTTTTTTTTTTTTTTTTTTTTCACCAACTGTATCTGATCCCATGTCCAACAAACTGAGGTGAAAGGGTTGAACTTCATCCTTTCTGTTTAGGTGACAGTTACAACAGCAGAGTCACCAATTAGTTATTGAATAATTTCTGGAACTTCTCCCACAATACATGCAGCCCATAGGGCTAGAAATTCCTGACATCTTTTGCATATAACTATTGATTATGATGGAATATCTAGAACTTGTTGGGTGTATATTCTACGTTCCAATTATTAGTGTGTTTCATGGTTATATAGAATCTACTCATGGTTAATTATTGTTGACAGCTGTCAAAATGCTTTAAATGTGTCATCTTTGCTTTTGAAATGTGTTGGGTTGAAAAATGAGTCTGCCTTGTTTTCTGATTGCGAGATGCATCGCAGAGTTTTTAAATTTTTGTTTTCAATTGCTTGCTATGCAGAGAATGCCTGCTACATGTAGTTCATATCATGGCTCTAGTTCTAAACTTGGACACTGAAAAATATCCAGTGTTCCTATATGCCTTGACGGAGGATTATGAACAAACTTGACTTGATAGTATATTTAGCTCAGGCTTTGTTTCTGTATGAACATTTTTTAAGTTTTTTCCTAGGCCCTGAATATCTGCATAAATGTGATTGTTGAGTTTGTGGTAAAAATAGTTTTTGGTTGTCTCTTTTTCCTCACCTAGGCAGCAGTTTCTTCCTCACAGCTTAAATGAAGTGTCAGAGAAGCTTGGTCAGCTCAGGGACCATTTTGTTTTTTACTCTTAACTAAAAGTATGGAAGTTTCGTGGGGACTGATCAAACAGTTGAAGATACCGTGTAACATCATTTTCTACTTGTTTTTATGTGGTCCTGTTTACTGACTCTCCACATGATCTAGATGGCCTTTATGAAAATTGTTCTCCATAGATGTTTCACATGGCTTATATTGACTCTTTTCTTTTCTCCAAAATTTGAAACATTGATAAAGCTTTGAGTGTCAGTAAATCTAAAATACAAGAATTTATCTTTGCTTAAGAAAAAAAAGTGTCATAATAGGGCCTTAGATGTTAAATGAATGTCCTGGTTTTTGCCTAAATTTGTTTTAATATAGGATGATTGTTGGGATTTCCTTGAAATCATGTGACGTATCTCTTTTCCTTTCTAAGTATCTATTACTCAATGCATGTAGACTACATCTTGAAGATATATTTGTGTGCCTTTACATGCCTTAGGTTATGATTTATGCATTGTTTATCATTTATTTCTCAGATATGCCATGTTTTTCCCCTTTTTATTTCACAGAGCACAGCATTAGTTAAAAGACTGGCTGAAGATGCACAGATTTTGATGATTTTGACTTAAGACAAGATTCTCAGGATCCAACTTTCATTTCTTTGTTAAGACGTTTGTGCTTTCATGGTGAAGGCTTCAAATGGTGGTGCACGAGTACATGTGGACAAACTGAAATGCCCAGAATTGGTAGCGTCATTGTAAGTTTATAAATTTGGGGATGATTTATTTCAGAATGAGACGTCGGCATGCCAACGGCTTTATTTAGTTTAATTCAGTTTAATTGGTACCAAAAAACATAAGCCTTAAAATTTCCATTGATTTTTGTTTTCAGCAGCAACACAATAAGTCAATAATGCTTCACCATATCATCTAAAAACACTGGAAGTATGAACCCTCAAAAGAAAAAATGTCCTGACTGTTTGAAATATACATAAGTACCATAATAGGATAGAATTATACACTGTACGCATAGTGTGATTGTTACATTTTCTAAGGTGTTATTGTCAATTGGTTAGCTTAAAAATCTTATGTTTCATTAGAGAGAAGGCAATAAGTTTGAATAATGAATGGGCAGGGAATGAGAAAGTTGGGTGGTGTCCTGCATGCTTTTGAGATAACATGGTTATACATCTACCCGTCAGGGTGATGCGATGTTGGCTATGCAGAAAGAAGACGCTAAAAAATGGACTTTCCTGGCCCAATTTTTCCTCTTCTATTTATTCCACCTTTATTTACTCCCACTAACTATTACTATTTCGTACTCTAAATGTATAGTGACTTCCTCTCAACCTAAACTGGGCATGTCAAGGGCACCAACTCAAATTCGGTAAGGATTTTATCTATGTATTTTATGTACAAAAGACAAGGAAAAAAAAATTGTAATTTATATTTTATAAAACAAATTTGGAAGTCATAACTCTATATTTGTTATTCTGTTTAACGTAATTTGATTTCAATTAAGCTGGAAAAACAGGAAATTAAAAAATTATTATGGGAACCATCAACAATCCTAAAAGTTTGCTTTAAAATAAAATAAAAATCAAGTTGGAAAAGATATTATAAATTTAAAATATTTAATAAAACTCTGACTAAGCAGTAGGCATTCCGTACAGAAGAGTCAACGTCCATGTCAGGTTTTTCACCAAACCCACCAGACTTCTACTGTACTTTTCCCCTCTCAGTTTTGCTTTGTATTTATTGACTCGGTCTCTCTCTTTTTTTAATTTTACACGCTTTGCTGTATACAATTTCTCATATTCGCTGTACTTGTGTTCCACCTGTTAACATTGTTTGGGAGTTTTATAAAATATTAAATAGCGTTGTTCAGTTCAAGTTATTGAGAGTACATAAATTGGAGGGTTCATATCAATTATCAGCAACAACAAGCCACTTGCAATATTTACAGATTAATACATCGTACGCTGAAGATTTGATTGTCTTATCTTCCGTCTTCTTTCTAACTACTTACCCTTGCTTTTTTTCTTTATTTACACCAATTGCCCCTCTCATAATTCTGTACCCATAGTCAATTCAATTGTGTCTTGTTTACTGGGGAATGGGGATGTTTGAGCACACCACACGTGTTTCATGGCCCTCTAGACTACTGAAGCCCTTGCAAAATTTCCAAAATTGACTAGTTTGTTTTCCCAACAGTTTTTCACTGTTGAAGAGATGAATGAATGAATGGTCTGTCAGTTGGAGGTATATATATATACATGTTGAACTATCTTTCTACTAATTTCAAATGAGGCCAATAAAATGTATGAGTTCTTTGAAGATTAATACTGCCAGGAAAAAGCAAACCAGATTCTACCCCTAAATGGCAGATATGCAGTAAGTATTTTCCTTGTAGTTACAGTACAATTTGCTGAAAGCATATATATGGGTGTGTTTGGTTTAGTATTTTGGATAGGATTTTAGGGATAGTATTGAGTTATTGGATAGGGGAGTATTACGAGATAAATTTTAAAAATTTATGAAAAAGCCCTTAGGTTTACTAATTTAACTAAAGACCCTAACATATAAAATGACCAAAACACCCCCACCACCTACAGTGTCAGATTCCGGCCACCACCGCCGAATCTGGCCGGAAAATTTCGTTACGGCACAGAGCGGTCGGATCTGTGTCGTAACACGTTGTATGGCCTTTTTCGGCCAGATCTACGGTCTGTTATGGCCGTCGACGGCCGGAAAAGCCCAACGAGGGCCATCTTTGGCCGTCAGCGACGGCCAGATCCAGATGTGGCCGTCGTTGAGCCAACGACGGCCACATCTGGATCTGGCCGGAAAAGGCCACAACGATGAACTTCCGGCCATTTATGGTCAAGTTAGGCCTTGTACAGATTCCGGCTATCACAGACGGTAGTTGCCGAATCTGACAAGTTGGGTTGATGGGGTGTTTTTTGTTAATTTTTAAACTTTTTTTAGGGGGTATTTATTGAAATTAATAACCTTATGGGGTTTAAATGTAATTAAAAAATAGGGTAATATTTCTGGAATAATATGCCAAACTTATTTGAGAATAGGATCCAGAATAAGGATAAAATAGTAGCCAAACATGCAGTATATTTCAGCATTTTTAAACTCCCTTGTTTTTTTTTTTTTTTTGTTTGTTAAGGTTGAAGAATAAGGGTTCGACACCATTAATTTAGTTAGGTTAAACATTTTTCATAATATGATCGCCTTTGATTTGATGAATAATATTGAATTGAAAAATTGAAATGTTTTGGTGAAGTGGATCGAACATGCACCGAGGTCACGGAAGCATTTATTCTTTGCCGTCAGAAAGAAATAAGAAGAGAGAGCATCTGACTACAAATTTAGTTTGAATAAGATACACGATTATACCGTTTTTGACCCCTTATGGTCTACTCGATTGACTTCACTTTATATAAGATTTAAATGTTTAATCACTAATAAATATGCTTATAACTCTTTCTGCTGTGCACATGGAAAATACAGGCCTTTTCATAATCTCTCCATTATTTAAATTTAATCAAATAAATTAGCAGGAAAATAGATACTCATTTCTATTATTGTATTAATTAAGTTAGGTTAATTTTATATATAAGTCGGGTCGCTTTCGGGGCATGGATAAGTTTGAAAATTTTGGATCTTATTTGTGAGAAAAGTAAAAAATAAAAATAATGAAAAAGCAAAGAAAATCATGTACCCATGCATGATGAGCGTTCTGCCCGACTGAGCAAAATAGCAATAGGGTATGGGACCCATAATTTAGAGAAATGAAAACCACACGCTTATAGTTATAGTAGCTTTTTCTGTTGCCATTCCCATTCCTAACTAGTTGGACTAGGATGAACAAGACCCTACACTTTTATTAACCTTTACACAGAATTTCATTTCATTAAATATTATTAAACTGGGTTTTAACCATAAATATGTAAACATCAAATGGGTAAAAGTGTAAAATTATTAGGAGTTAAACTTAAACAGAACATGCTGCCAATCACACCTCTGTGCAAGCCGCTTCATATTTCATAAGCCTGTTTCTCCCAGAGAGAGAGAGAGAGAGAGAAGAAAAGAGTGCTGTAAATAGCTATGTGTAAAGGGCTTTTAAAGTGAAGAAATGGGGTAAAGAGAGAGAAGTTTTGAAAAGACAGACAGAGAAGCTTATTGTGCACGGCAAAACAGTGGAGAAACAGAACAGTTAAAATCTCAGCAAATGGCAAGTTAGGGTTTCGAAATTCGCATCCACTCCTTCACTGAGTTCCATACTGCCATAGGTGAGTTTAACTGCTTACCCTAAAACTCCCGAACAACCAACATGTCTCCAAAAGCAATTCATGCCCTCTCAAAAAGCTAAAACATATTTCAATTTCAAAACCAAAACCCAAAAAAAAAAAAAAAAAACCTATCCAAAACAACTACATAAATAAAGCATCAAAGAAAAAGCTCTTGCTTTTCTTTCCTCAATAATATATCTTCGTGAAAGCTGACACATTCTCCCCCACCCACAATTTTCTTTCTCTCTTCCTTTTTTTTTTCATCCTCTATTTCACACTTTTTTTTTTTATTTTTTTTTTCTTTTTAACTCTTCTTAGTGTCACAGATCTTTTTTTTTTTTTCTTTTTAACTCTTCTTAGTGTCACAGATCAAGAGGACCCATCATTACAACTATACGACGTAGTTTTCTCGCCGGACTTTCCACTGCAAATATGTTGGACTACCAATGGGGAAACCCAACAACAATTATGTTTACTGGAGATGAACCCACCCAAGAACCAAACCAAACCCGCCAGATTTTCGATCACTTCACCTCTCAACAATCCTTCACTGAAAATACTCACCACCATCAACACCACAACGACAACAACTTCTTTCCTCAACCCACTACTAACACAGCCTTCTACCACCATCAACACCCCCATAATGTTCATTCCCTATTTGATCCACGCGCGTATAGTGGCGCGTCCTCCTACGCTCCTTCACACCACCCCTCTATGCTTTCGATGGACCATGTGTCTACTGGCTCTGGAAGTGGAGGCGGTTACTTTGTTATCCCTAAAAGTGAAGAAGTTTCTCGACCAATTGATTTCGCTTCGAGGATTGGGTTGAACTTGGGTGGAAGAACTTACTTCTCTTCAACTGATGATGATTTCGTGAACCGGCTTTACCGTAGGTCCAGACCAGGCGAACCGGGTTCTTCTAACTCCCCTAGGTGCCAAGCCGAGGGCTGTAATGCCGATCTGACCCACGCTAAGCATTACCACCGTCGTCACAAGGTCTGCGAGTTCCACTCCAAGGCATCCACCGTGATTGCTGCTGGGTTGACTCAGCGTTTCTGCCAGCAGTGTAGCAGGTTTTTTCATTTTGGCAAATTTACCCTCCCCATGCATTTACATTTTCCATATTACTTCTCTTAACTCATAATCCGGTGGATTGTCAGTCAATTACAGTGTCCAACTTGACCTGATAATTAAGATTAGTATGAAGTGACGGAACTGCCCGTCTTTAAGAGGACTTAAGAAAAGAGCTAATGATTGATTTCTTTCTCGTACATGTGGTGATCCCGAGGGTATTAGCGTCCGTAAAAAGAAAAAAAAAATCTGCGATTTCCGTTTTACGTACCGTTTGCTTTCCTTTGGTACTGTTCTTGAATTGGTTTAACTAATTATTTGATTTAAATTACAAAAGACCCCTACATGCATTCATATTTTCTGTTTAACTGAAACTGTATATCTATTCTCTTATCCGGTGAAGATGGGTGAAGAAACATCGTAATTTGACGGAAACACCCGTGGAATAATGTTTGAGGGTTAATGATTGCTTTGCAGTACATGGGGAAATCCCGAGGGCATTATCGTCTGTGACTTAACATGATCTTGTCGCTGCACTTTCCGTTTATGTACTGATTGTTTTGGTTTGGTTGAGAATGGTTAGGTTTATAATTATGACTGCATTTTCGAAATTGAAATAGATTCCATCTTCTCTCGGAGTTCGATAATGGGAAACGCAGTTGTCGAAAGAGATTGGCAGATCACAATCGTAGAAGGCGGAAATCTCAACAACAACCAAATCTAGAAGGTCAAAAGCCACAGTCGCTTGAAACTGCTTGCAATTCCTCGTCTGAGAATATTGCAAGTAAGCCCTAATTATATACTTGAATGATAATACTTCATGTTTTATTTAACGGAGATTCTCAAACCTAATATTTATGAGCATTAATTTTATGTATAGGGTCACCTCCAGATTCAGGAATTCATTCGTCATCGTCGGTGACAGTTGCTGTATCACCGCCACGAATGTCATTGGATTGTTTTAGGCAAAGGCCTTACCAAGCAAATGCAGCTTCGTCTTCAGCTTCACAAAGCTCACTTTTTTTCTCTACTGGTTAATTAACGTCACTGATAAAAGGGTCGAAGGAATTAGCTAGCTTATCAATCAATAACATAATTATGAACTGTCTGCTTTCTTTTCCCTAAAATCTGAATGTTTACTCTTAAATTCTTACTAGTAATATAAAAAAATTTGACTCATGGATGGAGTGTCCTTTATTTACTTATTTATTTGTCCTGAAAAAAAAATATAAATTGCCAATAGTGTATATCTTTATGTTTTACCGTTTGAAATTCACCAGGAGTAAACACAGAAGAGGAGAATTGGAATTTTCCAATACAAGTAACTGTTTGGTTTCAGCAATAGTTTGGCCAGGCACGGGTGTGCAGGTTTCTATTCATTTCGGGAATTGCATTATTAATTAATCTGTTGTCTGGTCCCGACATTCCGCTAGAAAATGGAGTAAAAATAGATGGAAATGAGGAGGTGGAGTTGGTAAAAAAAAAAAAAAAAAAAAAAAATTTAAGGGAAGAGAGGATGAAGGAGTGATGGATGGATGGTGTCTCCCATATGGGGGCTGTACCAAGCAAAGTAATTATTGATAGAATCAATCTGATGGCCCAAATAATCTTTCTCTATATCATTATCGTGTCCGCGTGGCATTTACTCGTGTTTGTGGACTAGGTTGAGTGAGTAAAACCTCTTTAATAGGACCCCCATTCGTCGGAGACCTAGCCATAGCCACTGCTCTGTCACACGACACAACTCTTTTCACCTATTTACCTCGTGTTTTTAAAATTTAATTTCTTCTCAAATCAGACCGTCTTGCCTTTAATTATCCATGTACAGAGTCGTAGCATAGTTTGAAGTATTCTAATAGAGTTGCCATATAATTTGAAGTATGCTAAAAACCCAAGGCAAAACAAATGTTACCATTCCATGCAAGCGTATAGTTTTTCCCTGCATATATTGCTATTACAAAAACCACATGTTGCCGAAATTCCGGATAATATCGGTGTTGTCCCCGAGATGTGCAAATATATGTCATGAAATATCTGGCATGTAGTTATGGAACGATTTGAAATTTCATATGGAACTTAAAAGGCGGACGACAGGCAGCCTGCAAAATGCAAATATATATATTATTATATTAGAGTTTTAATTAATGAATGAAGTAGCCTGCTAGAGATGTCAAATTGTGAGATACTGTTGGTCCAAATTGATAAAGGTGAAGCTGAAATCTAATGTTTGTTTTTTTCTTATTTAAATAATCATATCTTTTAATGTTAATATGAATTGGAAACCTCCTTGCACCTTCGACGAAATTCAGTCTGTGGGTCCTTGCTTTTTAATTCACCTCCACTTTTCTCCACAGAAGAAACAAACCAAACTTTTGAACTATACATTCTATTTCACCTGGGTACACATTACCTCCAAATTGATATTTACACGTCAACAGCATTAATTAATAATATCCTAAACCCTAATGTATTATTTTTTAATCCACCCGACAGTTTGTTGGATGAGTATTATAATATATTGTATATTAATTAGGCAATGATATGTATATACTGTATACGAAGTTGTTACACTCACAGTGCATGTTTATTTATTCCAGGTATGTCAAACATAAATTGATGGTTTCATTTTGTTGTTCATAACCATTTTTCGAATTTGTGCAAAAGAAAATGATTTGCCTTGTAATAGCTGACCCATCATCACCCTTCTGTTCTGCTGGATACATATCTGTGGTCAACATAATTTGATTGCATGAGTTGATAGATCAGAATGCATGGTCCACATAAATTTACGTGCTGAAAAATTTAGCCAGAGTTGGCCCTTGTGTTTCCAGTTTCTGTCGTCCAAGGTCCACATCTCTTAATTTCCCCCAAAAAAATTATAATATATATGATATGGTTAACAAATTAATTAATTAAAAAGAAAGGCAGGTAAATAATATTAATGCTAATCGACCTTACAACAGGATGGGCGGTCCCCCCGAGAAATTTAAGAAGAAAGGAAAGCCTGAAATAGACAAAGGTATAAAGGTACAATTTGCCTCATTGACCACACGCAACAATTACATTAGTTCCCCAAATCCAATCCCCAGATTTAAATTTAATTATTTGTAGTATAATAATTGTTGGGGGGATTTAATTGGATACTAGCAAATTCTAAATCATTAAAAGTGAAAAATAGTACGAACAAATGACACAAAATAATCACATACACAAACACAAAATTTATAGTGATTCATTCTCTATATGAAAGTTGACATCCATTTTGCCGCAAAATTTCACTATAAAGAAAAAGAAAAGAAATTATAAGAATCTCTTACAAGCCTTACAAATTGGTTTACTCACTAAACCCTATTTGGTGGCTCTCGCTCTCTAATTGTGGCTTTACCTTCTATTAAATTTGTGTTCTCCTACTTTAGTACTGAACCCCTTTATATAGGTAATACGTGGAACACTATTCTTAATAAGACTCAAATCACATATCCTAATAGAAATTATATTTTAATTCCTAATACAATTATAATCATATTCACAGTTGTATTCCTAAAAGGAAACCATTTTACTTAAACACAAATTAGGAAAACTCGTATTCTAATCTAACTATAATTTCGATTGAATTTCACTCCATAATCTCAACAATAATAGCTAAGGCGTAACTTTCTGAAAGAAATGCAAATATAAAAATAAATAAATGGGACCTCTAATTTTTTATTGCAACTACTAACTCAAATAGAGCCGTCGTGTTGGTTAATGTTGTTGTTGACGAAGGAGAAGAAGAAGAAGAATAGTTCTGAAAAGCTTGTACGTGAAGAGTTTCGTTTAGGTTACGTGGCGGTGGGGTCGCAATCGACATGGGTCTGATTTCAATTTGCAGGTTCACGGGCAATGAACGTGATCGACCACCTCACTCATTGTCCTTTGTGTTCTGTGGGGACTCCCACTTTTAACATATTTCTCTATCCTTATAATTTTTGGTTGTATTAATCTAGATTAACATAAATGATAATGGAGTAATAAAATTGCATAAGAAATATGGCAGAATACAATAAAGAGGGACAGGCCTAAGAGGGATAGCATTATGTACTTTGAAAATTAATTTTTGGATTATTTCTTGCATTGCATTACATGAAAAGTTAAAACTGTTTGGAAAGGACAAAAACTTTATTAAAGAATTATTACGATTAATTTAATGCCAAACCTAACTCTACGACTACATCACAGTTAATTAAATTTGAACTTCAAATATTACATGTTACGTGTCGCTTGTGGAGGAGCAAGTACTCCCTACTGCCTACAGCCACAAGCCCCACCTCAAAAGCTATAAAATTTATGCTCCGAAGTCCGAAGGAGGAGTACTGCCTGCCCCTGCGTGCAATTACGTCCGCCAACCCAAAATTGCTAATCCTTCTTACGAGTGTTTCGTGAGTTGAATGTGTATTTGTTTTGCGTAAAAACTTTACATAATGAAAGAGTTATGGAGGGAGAAAAATCGGCTGAAGCTTATACAAATTAACCTTCTCCAGATGTACCTGCTGATCACTAATTATTTCAAGTGCAGAAAAGGTGTCAAACAATAATTTATTCTCAGAGATAAGCAAACATTAAAAGATCTCTGAGCTTAGGGTGGCGATAACTGTGAGGTCTCTTTTCTGTTCATTTATGTTGAGAACTGATATTGGTCTTGTAACATCGTAGTTATGGCTGAAACTTACATTTGTCAACATGTGGGTCAAGCCGAAATCCCCTTCAAGGGGGACTTTTGCATGTGCCTTCATAATTTCTCGTGTCTTATTTAATTCCTTGTAATAGTTAAAACCCTTTGACCCATCGTTAGCTGCTCAATTTCAATTAATCAGATTCCACTTAATAATTCTTTCTTTACTCTGTGATTACTTTATTAACTCAACTTGCTTTTGAAAGTGACAACTGTAAATGCTAAAATTTTCAATCGAATTGAAGACTAAATCTTGTGAAGAGAGCCACTAACGATTTTGGTGGACCTAAGGAGTGTCTCCTTGCATCTCTCAAGGAGTCCAAGCGATGTGAGGGGATTGAAGTAGACTAGGGGTTTGGTGATATGAAAAACAGGTTTTCTGATAGTCTTTTTCATCCCCCTCATGAGTGAGTTGACCTTAGCTTATATAGTGAATCATAGGGGCTCGAATCCTAGTAAGACTTTGAGTCCTATTTGGTGATGAAACTCTCTTTTCGAGAAGAGATTGGATTCTTTGCCTCTATTTGTCGAGGCTTTGTCAGAAGAGAAGTTTGGTTGGGATTCTGATTCTTGTTATAGATTGTTGCAGGCGAATGAGCCGAACCCAGTTCAGCTTAACTTAGGGGATGACCCAACTCATAGAGCAAACAGTTCCCAAGGTGTTCTAAGCGTGAATCCAATTAGGATTGGGCCAAGACTCTGGGCCATCATTTATTACTGTTATAGTTGGACCCTGTCAGGTTCAATACAAATTTTAGCCCATACAACTATACGGAGAGTTATGGCTAAGTGAATGCAATATTAAAGCTATGGCATGTTCTAAAAATTGCGGCATGGAGCGGCGGGAGCAAAAAATTTAGCATTGGAGAGATCTAAACATAGAATAGAATAGTTTATCTTGACTGTTGTAGTACTTTAAAAATCACATAATTTATGTGTAATGTACATGAAATAATAATGATTTATGGAGCGGAACAGCAGCAAGCAAGACAGCTAAAAAATGGAGGAGGCCGTCAAGGGAAAACTAGGTCGAATCAAACCCATTATAAATCAATTAATGAAGAGCGGCGTTTAGGGGTGAGGGACCCAAAGTTGTTCCGCCCCTGGGCCAACAGTTATTACTTAATTTCAATTTCGAGCAAGGCAGGCTGCCATTGTTTGATTACCCTTGCCTTTTCCGAGCTTTCGTACATGAAATCTGCAGCCACCCACATGGCTAATACGGAACTTGTATTATTAATATTGTTAACTTTACTGATAAAAACGACCGTACATATTTGATCGCAAATACGGTATTTAACTAGAAAGGCAACCTGATTTACAGTTACTTAAACTACAGTGACTTCTTTCCAGACAAACTTAAATTACTTAATTGATTGAATAAAAAAAAATTAATGGTTCTCATCAGTTAAATGATCGATGAATTACAGCACAATAGTACATGATCCTTGATGAAAGATGAGATTCATGCTCCTTAGAATACATAAATTTATTACAACACAACAATAGAAGCTTTAATTTAAACTACATGGGCTGCGTCCAACGAGTTCCACAACTCGGAAGACTCTTCTTCCTCTTCCTTATCTTTGTCTGTAACGGACAAGAACCCGAATTGTCCGCTTGGAGCTTGCATGAGGTCCA